TTTTTTTGCTGAATTATTGTCATCTCTTGTGTTTGGCACTTTCCCGAGAACCGACTTTTTTTTTACGAAGTGGCTATATGATCGGCTCCCCAGTCTTCGATGTACTAACATTCTTAATAATGAGTGCTAGTTTTGTTTTGGAGATTTTGTCTGTACATTTATACCGCTCATTTAGGAGGGTCTCAACGGGGTGGTACGCATCACTACTAAAAATTTGGCGATTTCACGACTCACGCCTCGAATCACGGTTTAACTAGATAACTTTCAGAAATTTTTGAAACACGTTTTTCATTACTTTTTCATAATTTGTTTTGTGCTAGAGATAGTGAGTGTGGGAGCACAGTGTCCCCGGGCTTGTACGTTGTACGGGCTACGTTATAGACACTTAGTTATTATAACTTTTTATCATCACTCTCACATGTCAAATTTTGTCCATGCCCTGACTTGTCTGCAGGACCTTGCAATTACTGCCCTGTTGGTAGGTGCGATCCATTAGAATTTTGAGAGGGTGGGGGTGGAAGAGTGAAAGATTTAGGGAAAACAATTCCTGAACGGACCGAGGGGCCGAAAAAAAATCTTGCAAGGCAAAATTTTGAAAAATCTCCACTAAAGCCAACCTAGTTCCCAGGGCCTTATCCCTTCGCTTGGGGTCAGGCGGGAAAAGGGATAAGGCCCTGAGAACGAGGTTGCACTAAAGCTTTTATTTTTTTWAAWTTWMMAMMAMMAAAAATACAAGCGCGCGCCTGCATCGGAGTTGACTGTCCTTCTGAGGGACAAGACTGAATCACGGCTCACGCTATAAAAAAATATTCACGCCTCACGGCTAATTTCAGTCGCATTTTCACGACTCACGGCTAATTTTTCAGCCGTTTCACGGCTCACGGTTAACCCCATTGAGACCCTCATATCAATCTATGGTTTTCGCGATTTTTTGGCTTTGAAAGGGGGCTCACGGGCACCATATGACCCCCCCTGGATACACCCCTGCGGTCGGTGGTAGATCTTCAAGTGCAACGCATTCGGGTTTTTTTCCTGATTTTAATGAACGAACATCACCTTAGATTAATGGGTTCTCCATTACGTATTTTCCATATTGAGATTCAGATTGACGACTATTTTGGTGGATCATATTTGTCGATGAACCATCAATATGGCCGTCAGATAGAAAATATGACAGTTACACGAAAAACTACTGCGTAGTGGCCCTCTTTCCTCGTCCACAGGGATCCCAAGAGGGTCACTACGCAGGTGAACTCAATACAGCTTAATATGCAATGATCAGTGTCAATCAAACACAACATTAACTTATAATGTTGTGGGCATCACTGATTTGTAAACAGACATTCACAGGCACAACCCGGCGTGATGGTCTCAGATACGAAGTTTCCTGAGTTATCAATAACGTAAACAGTCATAGTTTTTGTTGCTAAGTTACACGTTCCAAGTGTTATACTGTATGTCTGGGAAACACAGTTGCCTTCACAGCGTACGGTTTSAACTTCGTAYGCCAGCTGTGAGCTAGCGTGAGCCAAMACGTACATAGAGTCGACATATTCAGTGCAGAGATCGTAGCCATTAGATCTCTTCTCAACATCAACGTTTCTTTTCACTTGTACAGACTTGTTTTTGTTTATTTTAACTTTCTTTCTCGGTTYSKTGGCTTTGACGATTTTTATGCGWYTWTYAYRCTTTTKCAAATCCTCGATCTCTTCGCTTTTCATCCTCAGTAATTTAAGACCTTTTTTCTTGAACGTCCCGAGATCTTTCAACGCTCTTGTGAAGGTCGATTTGGTCCACTCTTCACCCTTGTTGGGTTTGTCAAAATTCTTGAATTTACTGAGTACGTCGTCGACAATACTTCCAGACTCTATCGCACTTCCATTAATGACCTCCAGGACATTGTCGTCATCAGAACCTATGACATCATTGGCATAGATGACGTCASGATCACGTGGTCCACTTTTGACGTCACGTGGCGCTTGACTKTCCATTCTATGTTCTTGCTGAGAACTGTCTTGGTTGTCGATGACATCATTTAATTCGTTGCCGTCGACGTCATAAGTCGTGTCACGTGGACTGATGGMTGTTTTTGCTTTACAGATCACGTGGGTAGTTTTAAGTGCAATTAATACCAAGAGAAAAACCTGGAATAAAAATGATTTCAAGGCTTCAGTATATAAAGCTATTTCTAAAGATGTASAGAACGCGTCCAGTTCTCCGTGTATCTAGTCTCCTCTCGCAGCCGTTATGAGGCTCGTTCCCAGGTCTCCCCCCTCCCTCATCAAGCTTACGATAGGARCATGTAGACAAAAGAATTACTCTATGGCATAATTACGTCACAGCAATACATTCTGTTGTTATAACGCAAAGGATTATGGTTGCCAAAGGGGGACAAAATCAATGAATATCAATGAAGATTGAGAGAGTATATTAAAAGGTCCAAATTTCCACTGTTTCTGAGCATTAATTACTTCCCACTGTAAAACATGCTGTGACGTCATTATGCGACAGRTCAATTGCAACAGATTCTGTCGTTTTGAGACATTCTTTCAACAAACATAACGAGTTGTTCCAGGATGCCTTGGGCTTCCTGTGTGGCATGTAATCTGAGAATGTCAACGTGGCTGAAACACCTATTCCTTTTGCTGAAKGAGGAAATATTTGCGAYAAAAATGKAGAATAAATATATCATTAGGTTGACTTAATGTTTGCTTTACTTTTCACTAATTTGTTCAGCTTGTTCTTTCGCTTATTAGCCATAGTTAATAGATGTTTTAGCTAATGGTCCATCAATCAAGCAGCAAAAAAATATCTTGAGATATTTAATTCAAGTCCTGAGAAAATGATTGCTTTGTAGCCGAATTTGGCATGTTTTACGTGGAAATGATTCTATTGTATTGATTTCTGATATATATATATAAAGATTTGAATAATCGTTGTGATATTTGCTCAGCTTTCTTTAAATTTGAATTTCTTTTCTTAAAATTTCTGCTGAATTTGTAATTATCAGGGATTGATATTTATCAATTATCAAAAGTATTTTGCATAAAAACTTCCAATTCTAATGAAAAGCTCTCTTTTTTCTGTTCATAGATAGTAAAGTGAAGTTCTTCGAGCTCCACAAACGATGGATAAATTTTTTATTAAATTAAAGTTAAAATTAAAGTTTCCTACCCCATTTAAATCGAATACGCGTCTATGTTTGTTGACAAGCGATATTAGGTATCCATGCAGAACATTTGAAAACAGCTCCATTCATAMTGTAATCCTAATTTTGCGTAGAAATTCATTTAAAMAGCAGTACTGGACTGGGACAAATTTTCTGATTTTCAGAGTCTCTTGGTATAGCGTTAATTACTATTAAATACTCATCTCGAGGAAAATAATTAAATAACGCAGCCAAATCACAATTTGGAGATTTGGAATAAAAAATAGGGAATAAATTATGAAAGTTTCAAAACGAGGTGAATCGATTATTACTAAATTCAATATCTTTCACATGTGCTTTTTGCGCGAATTCTAGATTTCCAAGAGCAAAGTTGTGAATTTGAGTAGAACAATGAAAACTCAGTACAAAAAGTCGGAGAATTACAATGTATATATATAAAAAAAATTCAACAGTATCGCGTATCATAACTGCTGTCCAAATTTAACTTCAGTTTTTCATGGCCTGTTTTGTATTCTTCGACAAGTTGCCAGTGCTGAGGCAAGGTGAAAAACGAGAAACATCGACTCTATACTTGAACAATGACAAAACTGTGCTACAAGCTGAATTTTAAGCTCATACCTTCATTTTGGCCATAGATAGTTGTATTCTAACTTGCTCCTTATTAACGTCAGCTGAAGCAAAGAAACAAAATTAAGATTTAGAAAGACGTGAGTTAATTCAGTAGTTTTGAACTCACTCACCTGATTTAATGCGTAGTGAAGTGCGACGTAATAGCACAGCCCACGACCAAATGATATGATTGTCGGCGTGCTCACTGGTTTAAAGTGCTATTACAATTAGGTATTCAGTTAAACAATGCTATCTAATCCTGCCATGACACTATATAATGAGAGATGGGGAGGGCCGGTTAGTCAAAGTGAAATACATGCTTCAGCTAAGAAGCAAAAATTATGAACAAATCTAGGATTTAAAGATGGTATTGAACCAAAAAACAACAACAAAAAACAAACAAACAAAAACAAGAGTAACACCTCTATTCACCTACGTATGTGAGCAGTTAAACTTTAGTTCATTTATGCCTCCCACTTCATTGCCAATTCACGTTAGTAAAATGTGTGAAAAGCTATCGTTTTTGTTTGTAAAGATAAGCTTATTTCCCTGCGAGATACCATATTATGGTGATAATTAGCTTTCTGTCTTGTATTGGTATTTGCACTGCTCTTTACCCAAGAAGATAGAGCTGAAAGTTAGTCTTTATTAAATTGAATGGTGAAGAATATTCGTACAATGCAACAACACTGATTTATCGACGTAAACGAAGAGGCGACCTGAACAACCGAAATGTCACTATAGTTCTAAGGTGTAAAAAGGTTTTTTTTGAAATCCATGCTTGCTGCCATAGAAACAAGAATTTTATCCCACGTAATTAAGTCAAACCTACTTTATCACTGGTTAACGACAGCATAAGGTAAGACTAATTTTAATTTAGTGATATACCAGAGCAAACGTAACGCCGCCATATTGGATAATGGGTAAGAGAGATAAAGTAGGAATTTTATCTCCGTATAAACGTGTCATTCAAAACTAGAATTGCCTTAGTAAAGCATCCGACATCATGAAATTTTAGCAGACATTCTTAGACAGCATCGTATGTTAGTCCTGTTCATTCGCGAAAGCCGCTAGTTATAGATTGATCAGAACACTGCCTGGTATACACAGGGATCCCAACTGGATAGTGCAAGTAAACGGTTAAAACAGTGCCGATCGAAACGACTTTTTGATTGCTGCTAAAGTACAGCAGCTCTATTGTTAGGTTAGCATGGTTTTGTTTTATTGTTTGGAAGACCTATCTATTGTTTGTCCATTGTTTTTTCAACATATCGTGAGATTCGTTCCGATCGGTGCTGACCGTCCCAAATAAACTTGACTCACAACCCATCCATAAATAAAAGGATATTCCTCTAACTAATTTAAAATCATTTATTTTATTTCATGAGTATCAGGCATTRCCACATTTTGCAAAATGAAACTGTGCTATTATTTTAAGAGTGTGTTTTCTTATAATTTAAAGGATTTTAAGTGTGATGTATTTTGTAGCGTTTTTYTTYYYCAAGTGATCGAAAACCAACAAAWAMAAAMCRGTAGAGGCCTAAGTTTGATGGGGTTTTTCARGGAGGGTTTATGMATAAAAGTTATAAAAAAGGCACTCGCACGCACAACCAATGGTGACGGTTTTGTGTTTAAAATCAGTAATTTTTWGGCCGGTGAAAACAAAYACAGTCATCGTYTTYTCCTTCTTGSCGCATCTACCGAGGTTCAWTCGAAATCTTTTTGAGTAGCACTGCTTGACGGGGCAATGGACGTTTGGTATTTCATAAGCCAGCTTGAAGTCKCGATGAAGAAGAACKWACGTTGTACTAAAGGTTTCTTTACACAAATCAGTGACACCGTTCCTCTTCTCMACTGGGATGTCATTYTGCTTTGAAGCACTTTCATGTTGCTGGGAGARAGTTTCGTAAAACGTCTTCAAATCCTCGTCGTCGTCCTGTTCTTGTTCAATTKCATCTGCATCTRCTTCTATGTTCTTTACTTCACTTTTCYCTCCCATTTTTTCATCATTCGAATCTTCGTTGTTGGTGTCATCAGCGTTCTGTTCTGTTTCATCGCTTGTGCTTTCCTGGTTAAACATTCCTGCATCTTCCTGGCCGTCCTCGTTGTTTATTGGTGTTTCTTCATCATGTTGTCTGCAGGGCGGAGGTGGAGGCTTGTAAGTGTCAATAATGTTGTTTTTGCTGTTCACCAATCTCCTGATCAACTTAGCGCTGGCTGTGAACACCTTCAAGTCTTTGTTGTCGAAAACTCCAAGTTTTCTTAACAATGCAAAGACCTGTCTCTTTGTCAATTTGTGCTTTTTCAATTTGTGCTTAACCTTTTCTTTAACCTTGTTCACGACTTTGCCAAGATGGAAACGTTTGGATCTGAACAATGGCTCACCATCATTTTCGACATCGTTGAGGCCTAGAGGTTTTCCATGTTTCTCTGCGGCATCTGATTGGTCATTTTGGATGATAGGGGTTTGCCCCGTAGAATCCACGCCAGTGAAGTGACATGCCGTTACGACGACGAAAAGAATTACTGCTATCAGGAACTGAAATATTTAAGAGAATCAAATTTTTAATAGAGATATCCTTCAAATTGAACACTGCGGTAAATGAGAACTAAACAAGATGGATGGATAAATGAATGAACGAATATATGTGATAAAAGAAGTCTACGAATGAATACATGGATAACTGAATAGCTACTAAATGCAAAATTGGATGAATAAATAAAACATATTTAAATTAATTTCGACGCTTGCTTTGCTATTCAGCTTAAACGTTCTTGGTCATGAACGTGACTTCCATTGTGATCTTCTTACACACGCACGCAGCATGGTACCACACATCGGCTAAAAGTAACTCACGTATAATAAACAAAAATCTCTGTACTGTGTAATATATACCAGATTATTGGACCATGAGAGACTATT